CTCAGACTTATTTGGAAACTCTCGTGTCGAAGAAGTCACGCTCTTTCGAATGAGCATACATGAAGGCTTGTAGAGTGACGAGCTACAAGCCTGTAAATTGGTACAAGTTGGTGGAGAAGTGCAGGCGAGATCCTGAGCACGCACATCCAAGAGCCTTTTCCAGCAAGGAAACTTACTAGCACAAGTCAGATGCATAGAGAATGGTAAAGAACATCCACTTTATCTGAAAAGTTCTGTTAGGATGTTTTTCATGAGTTTTTAGGTGAAGAAGTTCGGTTTGGGAAAGGGAATTTAAAGTTAACTTCAAAAAAAGCAAAATAAAATCCTAGCTTGTGCTTTTTCAGAAAATAGCCATAACCAAATCATGGCCCTTGATGAGCTATGTATGATAGTATGCCGGTTTGTTCGGATTGCTTGTGTTTTCGCTCAAAAAGAAACCCAAAAGAAATATTTGCGTTCGAAGTGTTGTTGTCCGCGACTTTTGACGCGGCCATCTTTGGACTTTTTTGGTGAAACATTTCAACTTTTCAGAATCCCCATTTTTCAGGAATCGTAATATGTGGGCTGTTGTTCTTAAAAAAGCCTATCTTCTCATGCAAATTTGATCCTTTTTTCATCCTTGTTTTCCATCTGAAAATGAGCGACGAAGAACGGAGAACGGTTTGTCCGCAACTTTTTGGCGGTCACTGTACATGACTCAATGGCATAAACATTGCGACAGGAGTACTAACGAAGAGTGTTGTACTGGTTAATGTCGCGTGGCTTCGCGAAAAATGATCAACGCCTAAAGCTTCAAAGTTCAGCAGCTTAAATTTGAAGCTTAAAGGCAGTGGCTCGGCAAATCCTTGACCTAAAGTTTTTTCGCTTACCTGGAGTACGCGCTGATTTCGAAAATACACCTTAAACAGCACGAAAATGTCGAAAACCAGCATTTTACAAGGGTTCTCATTTTGAATTCAGACGAGTGGACCACTCTCCGCCATGGTTAGAGACGTAGAGTCGTTGCAGGACCCTCTTGTCTATAACATTGCGGCATGCCGCCTATGACGGTGGCTGGGGGACCGCAAGCTCGTCCGAGCGCGTGTAAGAATGGCTTGCGCGCACGGATTTAGGGACAGTTTTCTAGGAAGACACAGCATGTAGTGCGCTCAGACCTGCTCTGTTATGATGTTTGGGATGCAAACAACCTTCCACATCAAAATTTGGGGATGTTTGGTTTTGCCAAGTCAGTGCCTTTAACGTCATCTCGCCAGAGCACAAAGTAATTATCACGTCACAAACGTGACTAGTGCATACACCTGTGCGCAGGCGATTCACATGTTCTAAAACCCAGTCTTAATATACACGACATAAATCTCCTTGTTCACAACGCATGAGCATAACAGACCTACCAAATTCGGAGCGGAACTTGGCCACGAAGATTAAAAGAAGCACGCATCATGAAAAAAATTACATGAATAAAAGTAGTAAGTTTTTTTTATTACAACTACTTCCGCGCAATTTGAGAGCAGCCGGTCGGCACCAAACGAATATAACTTCTTCCCTGCACTTTCCTACATGATTGTTCAAATTTTCACGGCACTAGACTTTTCAGCGCAGGCTCTAGTTATAAGCATACAACTCGACCCCAAACACCATCCCTTCTGTTACTATGGCCCCTATGGCTTGCGGTGATTTAGAAACCGTCGTGTTTTTCTTCTTTTGCTATTCTATTCCCGACTCTCTTGTCTTTTATTCACTTTTCACCCAGTCATCCTCTTTGCACATTATTTTGAAGCCTTTTTTGATATACAAAAGGGGAGTCCCATTTTTAGAATGTTAACAGGGTCCTCGCGTACAAAATTCTCAAATCACTCCGTAATGGCCTAATCGCACTACTGTCGATTCCGCGTAGGCGCTGAGCTTGACTTTTGATACTACTTTTGCAATTATTATTGTAATTCGAAATGCGATTCTCGAATGTAACCGACCTTAATCCCCAACAACTTTTATTTAGCAAGTTTGGAGTAACAGTGAATGACCATAATCCATTATAGAGGATGTAGCAACAAGGGAGCCTATTGAAAATTGAGTCCAGAAGTACACATAGGAGTGGAAAGAGAATGGGTGAGAAAAGAAAGAATTGGCGATAAAATCCGTCAGGAGGGCTCGGCATAGGTGGTTCAAAGGCAGTGTCCCGGCAGATTTTGCACTTCTATCTTCCTGCATGTTTTAGGCCTTTTCGCCAAGTAGAACCCGAATTTGAGCTTTGAAGGGGCTGAAGGCCGATTTTGGGGCGTTTACAATTCCAAAAAAGCAGCTCGGACCAGATTTTTAAGAGAAAGGGGGGGGGGGGTCCTCAGGCGAAGACCCTGCCGCCTGTAGTTTTTGCTCTAGATAGCATGTACAATGAGGGAGAGCCAGGGCCCGGCATAGATCGTCTGGAAGCAGGCTGGACTTTGTTTTTGGAGCAAAAAGCGAAGAAGATATCGTTTTTGACGAATCGGGGCCCAGCACCAAGAATAAACGCCATTTAGTCGAATACAAGCTTCTCGGACGGGTTATTACACGATTGACATGCTCTATCGTGTATGGCGAAAAGTGCGCGCGATTTGAAAGCAAGACTAAAATAAACAAAATGCTTCTTTACAGCGCACATAGAATCATATGACACCAAAACTGAACTGTATACATAGAAAATTATTTGCAAAAGAATTATGTAAAAAGGTTGAAAACTTATGAGAAATTACGTTTTCCAAAACTAGATCGTCTCCAAACGGCCACCAGAAGATCTGAGATCGTCTGAAGCATGTATTTCCGTCACTTCACATAAGTTTTGGATTTTTCTATCATGGACGGAAAAATCCAAAACTTATTTGAAGTGACGGAAATATATGCTTCAGACGATCTCAGATGCTTCGGACGATCCTCGGTCAAAAATCTTTCCCTAAGCGTGATGACATTTTCATATCAGTGCCTTTCCTTTGTTTTTTTTTGCGTTCATTTCTTAATATAACGCCTTGTGAAATATCGCGCTCCAATGCTAAACTCCTGTGCATGCGTAGTATTCAGCTTTAATTTGGATTTTCACTCTTATCTTACGCTTTTCCTTTCGGACTAGAAAATTTTTCTTGATTTCATCTCCTCCTAAGCAGAAAGGTCAAAGGGGACTTCGTTGAACCTCCGAAAGTCAGGGGAGATTTCGTCTTCACAAACCCTAGAAATCGACTCGTGCCGGGCCCTGGGGAGAGCGCTCGTGGGATCCCTCATCGAACAGACAAGGAAATCCGTCCGAGAGCGCGCTAGTTGGGGTTGCGCGCGCCGGTTCAAGGGCTATTTTCTTGGCCCAGAGGGAATATCACCCCAGCTGGACTGCGTCTGAAAGTCGGCGGGGTGACCAGGGACCCCACCACACCTATATCCCCCAGGACCCGAATCTGCCGAGACACTGCCTTTGAAGGGGCAAATGGATATCGTTTTGGAAAAAAAGTAAGGGGAGCGGCCCCAGCCCCCCCCCCCCACACCACACACACAAAATCGCCTTCTCCATTTATGTCAGATTTCATCTCTATAGAGGACGCAAACCGTATTCCTGCCTTATCGATTCCATTACTGCAAAAATCAAATTATTACTGTTTCAACAGGTTCGCCGGTTCAGCGTGCGATCAATCCCGCCTCGAAATAAACAAAAGACTTGTTTACAACGAAAAGAAAATGAAATGAACCAAAATTGGTGTGTAGATGTGCAATAAGGAGTTAGAACTATGCACGAAAAAATTATGAAAAAATTATGTGAAATGAAGCGCGGCAAACTTTTTTTTGGAGTTAGGTGGCTTTCCAGCCACCTGGACAGCCACCTGAGGTGGCTGTGAAAATAAAAAGTCATAAATTTTCTTTCCTTCACATAATTTTTTCACATGTTTAACATAACTTTATTTTACATCAAAAACCCTACAACTGAGTTTTTGCATCTCCCCAAATCCCTTTCTCCTCAGATAGTTACAGCCCTCCAAATATTTTGTATGGCGGTGGCAAGCCTGCTCCAAGCGCGTAAGGGTGCGCGCTGGCCACAGTATGCCGCCAATTTGGAGAGTACGAACATCTTTAGTATTTTTTTGTCTGTTTAATGTTGTTTGTATGTTTTTTTTGTTCCATTACTTATCGTTATTCGTTTTGACCCACTCATGATCGCATTATAGGTGATGTCGTATTTTTGGCGAAGTCCTACAGAGCATTCGTTTTTGAAAATTGAAAAAGCCACCTCATGCCGAGCCCTGGTCAGGAACTTCCGGTGCCTTTGGCCAGCGACAAATAAAGATCGAGGTTTGATTTTGGAAGGCCCCGAGGATCACGGCATCGGGCGGCTATATCCACGAAAGGAAGGAGATCACATAAATGAAAGGACGAAGTAATGCATGCTGGAACATTTCATAGAGTTGCTTATATAGCATTTTCTATCATTGGATATGTACATACTCAGTCACAATTTTCTCATAAAGGACCACTTGAGTTATGAAATGATACCAGATTTCTATAACTTCCGCAAGTCCTTGAGAGCTATTACATATGCCGTTGAGTAGCTTGTCTTGACCTTGACCGTAGATCTGCAATGTTGACTCAATCTGCAATAATGACTCAATCTAAAATGTTGACTCAAGTTGTCGTTGTGCAAATATGGTCATATTCCTACGCAAAAAAGGACATATTCTTACACTACCGCAAATGCAAGTTCATTGCAATGACAATGCAGTCGAAGATGAAAGTTTCTAGCTTTCTTGATCTGAGAGTTTAGCAGATATGCAAGCGCGTCCTGCGTTCAAAGTCTCAATCTTTTATTAGTATGCATCTGAATGGCATCTGAACAAAATCTGACTGGAAGAACATTGACGATACAGTCACCAAAAACCTCCTAAATGCTATTTCAAGTATGTCCATATGATTGTATAATCCTTCTGGATTTTCTTCAATACGTGTTCGCTTTCCTCATTTTTTACGCATCATCTTCCGTCTTTCATATTTGCAGAGCTCTTCGGACTCTATGAAACATGGGTGAAAAACAGAAGAAGAACAGTAGCATTGTGACTATGTAAGTACTAACGTGGCGCTTATTTTGATAGATGATAAAAGTAAATCACGCGCGCTACACTTGAAACTATTTCTTATGCGCATTTCTGGTCATCGCAATGACTTTCTATAGGGCCTAAGGCATACCTCACGCGATTTTAGTCGCCGCGCGATTTGGCACTGCAACGATTCTCCATAGCTGGTCGTAAACGCACTTTGCTTGAGCCAGACTTGTTGCGTTTGTTACAATGCACGGAATCTACGCACCCAAGCATCTAAGAGCCTCGCATGCTTAATCTCTAGACAACTGGCAAATCGCCAAGTCGCGAGGATGTGGCGATTTTGCGAAATCGCAAGAGGTATGCCTTAGACCTAACATTAGCCCTTTTTTGTGGCTTTGTCCGCAAGAATCACAAGACTGATAAGTTTGCTTAGGATCATCTGCATCAGAAGCCTACCTCGCCCATGAAGAAGCTGAGAAAACACCTGAAGCGAGGGCTTACTGCGACGAAAAGAAACTTTCTGCCTGATGACATTCATTTCATGGGATGATTGTTATCAGAAATTGCTTCAGGAGCTGCTTGACCCTTCCGGATTTGATTATTTTTTTATGTCTATCACTTAGTGCGAAAGCTTATACGTTTTTCCGGTCAAAAGCAAAATTTGGTAGAAGCGATTCTTAGCAAGAAGAGCATGATTGGAATTTTTCAAACTTTTTCAAGATTTTGCAGAGTTTGCAAGACATATAAATGAAGTTCTTTTCAGTTTCTTGTTGTGGAACACGATGATGGGTGTTTCATTAACCAGCATGCCTTGGGCGTTGCACCAGGTACAGTCATTGTATTCTTAGTGTTTATAAGATAACTACAGATTACTATGAACTCGCTAGGGATATGCGACAAAATTGTAATTGATCTATCATAAAGTCAAATGAATCTAGATTCCTTGGAAAATCTCCTTACTTCACTTCATTCATTCGTGCCATTGTCTTGCGGGCCGAGATCATTGGGAAAGCTATCGTTAAAGGCGACGTTCAGACAAATCTGAACGTATGGGGATCCACGTGGATAGTATTTTTGGGGCCTTAACTGAGCCATTGGCCTATGTACAGCTCAGGTAGTGCTCTAATGGCCGAGATATCCCTCTCAAAACTGGACCCCAGGATCGTATTTGGCATGGATTCATAGCACAACCTGTTGGTCCTCGCGCGAAACTGATAGGTTGCGCCATGAATTCATACGAATTACGATCCTGAGTTCCTGTTTGGAAGGTGTATATCTCAGCCGTTAGTGTGTCACCTGCGCTGCCGCTTGGGCAGTGCCATATTTAAGGTCCCAAAATTACTTTCCACGTACAATCCCCGTAGGTCCAGATTTGCCTGAACGCTACCTTTAGATGGCATCCACATCAAGAAGAATAGTTCCTACTTTCAACTGGTAGAACGGCTCCGAATTAGCACTGTTGTAAACTGACATGTTCAAAACACAAGTTTTGCAGTAGCTTTTATCATGTTGGTTCAAAATGGGAACGCGTACTCCTACTTTCAACTGGTAGAACGGCTCCGAATTAGCACTGTTGTAAACTGACATGTTCAAAACACAAGTTTTGCAGTAGCTTTTATCATGTTGGTTCAAAATGGGAACGCGTACGATGATCGAGATTATTTGTTGTAGTTGTTGCTGTTTGGTGTTGATCAGATGTTTTGAGATATTTTGGCCTGTTATTTTAGACGGGTCTTATCGCGGGCTTGTTCGTCTTCGTTGCAATGGGACTGCTTTGCTGGTACACGACATACTTGGTTGTACAAAGTCCAAAGAAACTAAGTAAGAGATTGTATATCCCAGAAAAGCACTTGAGAAAATCTGTTTTAGAGCACATTGACCCGAACAATGTGGAATTCACGGAGGTGTGTCGTGAATATCTCGGACGTCCAGGAGAAGTCACTGCTATCCTTTTCTCGATATTTGTTCTGAGCGGTGCTGTTCTCGCTTATTACGTACTTATGTCCAACTTCCTTTTCTTCACGGGAAACCTCATATACGGTAGTAATCTCAAACACTTAAGACTTGCCTGCATGTCGAAAACGCTCGATTTAGGCCTTGCACATCCATCAAATGAAACTTCAGAATTGCAAGATGAGGCGCGGTGTAACTGTGAGTATGATGTCCCACTCAGACAATCGACGGGATACTTCCGATGGGCAAAATGGGAATTGCCAGAGTCTTCCCAGCGGTGGCTGCCCACTCGTTCACCGGATCCTTCCCATATCTTCCCAAGTCCACCCGAAGGCCTATTTCGCTCCGGAAACCCTGCATTGCCGCGGCTGGCATACTGTAGATAGCCTTGCGCTCCGAAAACCCTGCATTTTCACACCTGGCATACTGCAATTAGTCCTATGCTCCGGAAACTGCATTTTCACAGCTGGCTTACTGTAACTGACCTGAATCTAGCTAGGTATACTCAACTACCCCTAATTAAGCGACTAGCCTTATTTGGCCCCCAACCTCACTCAAACTACCTTTATACACCAATCCCCACTCTAAACTACTTTTTATCGAAAAAAGAAAAAACGCTATTAAACATAATATTTATGTGTCAGTAATTGATTGTTTTGCCGAAACCAGGTTTCTTGGTGGATGTTTATTCGACCGACGTTTCGACGGGCTCGTCTTTTTCAAGAGGTCTGAACGTAGATTATAGGTTTTTGGATCTGATCAGTAGGCCGCCAAGAGCCTCCTCCACAAGTGCTAGTCTAGACCTCATCGGAGGATAGCAGCCAGCGGGAAACCATCAAAGTTGTGAAACGAGCTAACCTTAACTCCACCGCATACCAGTAAGTCCGCACAATGGGACAATAGCGGACGTCACTGAGTGTCACCCAGTGAGTCAAGGGTATTTATGTGCGGCTGTTCAGATTGCATAGCGGTATGAACGGCAAGAGATCACTGTTGATTGACACGCATTCATTCTTATTCTCTTTCATTCTCACTCTTTCATTCTTCTTCGCATTCACTATTTATTTGTAATTGTGAATTAGCAGACACAAGTTCTGGTAATGAATGAGAATGAGATGAGAAAAAACACGGTGATAACAGAAGAAGCACTCGTTGCAGTGAGAAAAATATTGAAAGAGATCTAAATGAAATAAGCAAAAAAATTTCTCATATAGAATCGGTCGGTGTCATAACAACAGATAATACAACATGGGGATAATTAGGAAAGATACAGAAGATATGAGGCAGAAATTAACATACAAAAAATTAGAAGAGAGTGAAAAGATTAAGTGAAGTCGGAGGCCGGGAAATTGAAACGAAATCACTTTCCTTGGAGTGCAGAGCCAATCTTTGTAAAACAGACAGTTGAGAAATAAATATCGACGAAAGCCTAGAATATAACGGCGTATAAATTCAAGTGTACACATACATGGATAACTCACCTTTTGTAAATGAATTTTCAACTCCCTTGAGAGGCGTGCAAGTCAAACTATCCCAACCTGGCTTCTTCAGAGAGCAAATCCACATCTCTTCACGAACAAACCATTAAGTGGATACCAACAGATATTCACGAGTCACAGCTACCTGTATTTAACAACAAAACATTGCGCTGGCCTAACCAAACCATGATAATGCTGGATAGAGAAGTTTGAAGGGAGAAAACTTGCTTTCGAACGCCTGAAAAACTCTAATGCAGAGTTATAAATTTATAATAAGTTTGCAAATGAGCACATGATTAGATAGAGGACTGTAGCAAGACTCGAAAATTCGATGACAGAACACAAACTTGGAAGAAATTCGAGGTAGTTATCTACTTGAGAGAAAAAGTGAAAGGAAGGAAAGGAGAGAAAATGACAAAAAGTGCGGCGATCAAGAGCCACTCCTATAAGATATGAAAAAAGAAATCAGAAATCAGAAAAACATATATAGAAAAATGTATGGAATTCTTCCAGCTATATATCGATACTTTTAGCATGCCGACGTAACTCCTTGATATGGAGTGTTTGGGTGAGGCATCGTATGCTCGCTTGTCCTTCAACCCCTTGGAGGCACATAGCAGTCTTTCCTTGAAGCAGTGTTCCTCTAAGCTGGTGCTGATTTGAAGATTGCATCCGCACTTTCTATATGAAAAAGAAGAAAGTTGAAAGGAAAGGAATGCAAGGAACAGAATGCGGAAGAAACACGAAAACGGAGGAAAGACTAAAAACGGCTAAAACACTTAGAAGGAAAATAAAAACGAAAAGAGCATATTTTCGAGGTTAGCGGGAGGCTGCGTACCATGAGTGCTTCGGAGGTGCTGCGCGCCTAGGGGTCCCCAGCAAGTTTGCAAATCTCTGGCACCTCCGGAGCACGTTCCCCGGAACTTTTTCCCGGTTTCTGTGATGTCACTGCGAGTGGACTGCCCCTCGCCCCTTCCCTACAATGGTTGGGAGCGCCCATCGGAAGTGTTAAAAATTTCCACTGTCCACCAGAAGTATTTTGCGAAATGTATGAGTACATTGAACCGTTTTCAACTTAGAAAGGCGAATATTGAGTGTCTAGTAAGTTCGTAGCATCTTTCAAAACGTGTATCATCTGTAGTAGAAAAAGGAATCTCTCGGGGTTTTCTTGCCTTACCTCTTGCAGTTTCCATATGTCTTCAAAGCTCTCTCTTTCTCTTCAAAGATTTATTTTTATATGTGTTTATTTGAATTCAAATTCTACGAACTCGAGTTGCTGATGTATTGTGGACAGACATGGGACTGCATGGTCAGCAAATGGCAAAAGTCAGGTGGAGCTGGGGTAGACGATGAAACCATAGGATTCTACAGACTAGTCTTCATGACGTCATCAGAAACGAAGAAGATGGAAAGAAAATTTAATATGTGCCTTAATTTCACAGTACAAGGCGCGAGTATTATTATTTACGATCGACCAGCCCAAAGACGCCAAAAATATTTGGCGACCCAGCTCGCTACCGTGTTGCGCGTTACCTAAGAGGATCGCACTGCATATAATCGTGTTGCGAAGCACAGCGAAGCGGTCGAGGTGATCCTTGCTAAGGCCCATGCATTAACATCCCTTTGAGGAGGGGGTCTGTCGCCGAAACGGGCGACCACCACGGTCATTTGCAACAAATATGCGGTCTTGCACATGCACGAAGATGCGTATTTGCAAAAAGTCCGCGCGGGAGCCCTCCAGCATTTGGGGGCATATGGTTTTCTACCCGAGTGGACCATAGCTTTTAAAAAATTTGTATTCTGGAGCGGACACCTGATTTCTCATTTGTATCTAACTTCAAGTGCTTCTTCTACCCTACAAACGTATAGCAGGAGCGAGAAATTGTACAAGCCGTTGCTTGTTGTTTTGTACTGGCAAATTTTTCGATGTTGTCTGAAAAAGTAGAGAACATAATAAGAAATACGAGAAAATGGATTTTCTGCCTTTGTATATTTTTAGTCTTGTAAGCAAAAATTTTTTGAATTTTTCCAACTTGGAACAATTTATCATAAGCAATGCAAAATAAGCAAGAAAAATCAAACCGAAAGATGCATGCAAAGTTAGTACCTGCCACTGGTCGTTTCAGTCCTGCGTCAAATGGAAGGTCAAGGGAACGGCAACTTCACTTTTGAACCAGAGATCCTTTTTGGACTGAAATGGAGTCAATTGTGGCAGTTAAGAGTGAGTATTTATTCCGAATATCCATTGCCCGCTTCCTTGTTAGCTTAGATTAAAAATATTAATGTGACTTCAGCTCAGTGTGCCCATTCTACTATCAATATTGACATTCACACTACTGAACTTCAAATCTCCCACATTTTTTTCAAAATTCAATGTACTGGGCACTGTATCCATTGCCTATTTGCTGCTCTTTAATGGAGCACGTCTAATCAAATGTGGAGTTCATGTTTCGTTGACAGATGTGAACTCGGAGGTCTACACCAAAGGTAAGCAGTATAATTTGAATCTTGCTAAAATAAAAATCTGTGAGCGTAGATTGCAAAAAAAAATGATGTCAAGAAATATAATAAAGCTGAAATCACAAGTGCACGCGGCCCAATTGCAACTGATTTTAGTTTTTGACTGGAATTTTCCCGCGTTAACCGGAGCGTTGACATTGTCATACTTCATACAAAATGTTATATTATCAGTTTTGAAAAATCAGAAAAATCCCGAAAATAATGTAAGTTCCCGCGGCTTGTTAGAGATGAAAAATGAAAGAAAGTTTAATTTTGCAGATTAGAGATCTCAGCATTGGTTTTGCACTGGTTGCTTGCAGCTACATATTTGTTGCAGTTTCTTTTTATATTGCGTACCCATTTGAGAAGAGGTATATACAGGATGTAAGTTTTTTTACTATGAATGTAATGTATTAGGTTGGCACGAAAGTTCTGTCGCACCATTTTCAAAAATTCATAACTACTAATTTTTCAATTGATTTGACTGTTTTTATTTTTGATGGAAGAGTAGATCATGCTTTTTATAATGACGTCTTAGCTGCTTGCTAATGATCATCTGTTGCATGGATATGAGCGATAGAAGAAAATTAGTCAAAATTCAAGTTTTCTGTGTAGGGTCATAAAAAGTCAGAATCTTGCAACAGAAATCGGAGCATCACCAGCTCTTTCCAACAGTGCAAAGTCTGCGCCAATTGAGCGTCTCCATGAAAAGTTATGATCCCCCTGAAAAATGCGAAAATAAATCAAATTCGCCCTTTTGTATTGCTTGCTCGAAAATCGTAACTTTTCATAGAGACGCTCAATCGGCGTAAACTTTGCACTGTTAGAAAGCGCTGGTGAAATAACCTACAATACCGACTGCTCCGATTTCTGTTGCAAGATTCCGGTTTTTTATGACCCTACACAGATTTGAATTTTGACTAATTTCCTTCTATCGCTCATATCCATGCAGCAGATGATCATTAGCAAGCAGCTAAGACGTCATTATAAAGGGCGTGACTTAATCTTTCATATAAAAATAAAAGCAGTCAAATCGGTTGGATAAATCAAAAGCTATGAATTTTTGAAAATGGTGCGACAGAACTTTCGTGTCAACATAATTGGTGCGACAGAACTTTCGTGTCAACCTAATATACAGGGCGACCGAAAAGTATGAGCGTTACATTTTTCGTCTAATGATTTTTCAAAGCAATAAAAAATTCTGTAAAATCATTTTTGCATGCCAGAAACAAAGGCATCTTATTATGTTACTCTTGCAAGACTGGATTCCTGCAAATGCATACAGACTCCAGCAGCTTACCTTGAAGTTGATGCGTCAAAAATGCTACTGGAAGAATGTACGCATTGCAAATCCGCTAAAGTAACCCGATCATTAATCGAATAGATTCTAAGACCTGAGGTTTTGTAGAGCGCAGTTCGGGGATTAACACAGAGCCGTAACAGCAAAAAACTTCTCCTCTCCAAAATAAGGTACGGTGTTATGAATATGGTGTTTACTGAACTCGCCGCGGCGCCTTTCAAGATAAAGTAGACTCAGGACCCGTCTGCATCAGAAGACTTCAGTCTGCGTTCACTTATCTCAATATAGAGACTGCCCATAAGCTGCAGGCATATTAGCTGCCATAATAAAATATTTCAGAAAAAAGATATATCACATATTGTAACGCCCATACTTACCGGCCACCCTGTATATATGGAAAGGTCCTTCAATAACGGCTAGGCATAGGCATCAAAAAATTGACTAGTTCGAAACAGGCTCTATGACGTTATACACTACAGAGCAAAGCATAGTATGTCTACGCGGTAGAGTTGGAGATGTGCATAAGTGGGAGTTGGATGAAACTGAACCAAATTGAATGACTATACTGCACCGCATTATACACGATGTCCCAAAAAGATGTGCACACTGTTTGACCGCTAACAACTCCCTTGCTTGAACGTCTTTAGCCGAGCATGAGGTGCCAGTAGAGCGAGGTTGAACTTAGATTTATAGCATGGAGCGAATCATTAACCGCTCTTCATTACCGCAGGATTACGGTATAAACTTCGAAAAGGATTTTGGGAAGTTGAAAGCGATTTTTGCTTCAAAAGGAAAACCAAACAAGCCAGAAACTCCCGTACTGGACTAATTGAAGTTGCTGATTCTGAATATGAACTTTGCACTTCACTGTAATGCTTCTTTCACAAGTTATTTCAGTTTTAGGGTAAAAGGGTGAGGGTTTCTCCAATTCGCCGGAAGTGTGATTACACCATTAAAAAAGCTTGAGAAACTGGTAAAAAGTTGTATAGCAAGACCAGCATGCCTAAAACTGTCAGACAGATTTTCCGTTTTTTTGGAATTTTTCTCATCAAAAGGTCTATTCCACAGTGGCGCTGTATGCTGAAAGTTCTTACGGTAATCCCACGGCAATGGAGTTACTGATGATTCGCTTCATGCTGTAAATCTATTTCGACCTTGCTATACAAAATGGTACCTCACGCTCCGTGAAAAACATTAAAGGAAGAGGATTATTAACGATCAAATAGTATGCACACCTTCTTGGGACGTTTGTGTATAGGAGAAACGAAGAATGTGAGTATAAACCTGAAAGAACGTTTGATTGATGAAAGGGGTAAGAACATGGCTCGCCGCTTGGTAAGCATGGAGAAATTCGGCGTAATGGAGTAAATTCGGTATTGGATGTACGATTCTCACATAAAGAACGAAGATCTCGGTTAGGAAAGCGTTAGAAGTTTCTGGATTTCTACAAAGAGCTCTGGTATGAACAGTAGAAAGCAGTATCTATCAGTGACATTCAACTCCTTTCGTTCGTGTCGTTATGTGATATGTATAGAAGATCCGTAGCAAGCAAAGACTGCGGGCGTATTCTCTTTCTAATCGAGTGCTGTTTCGTTTATCTTACCATCTGCTCTTTCTCCCATGCACACTATCTCGGCCAGAACATCTCTGCGTATTACGAATTCCCGTCTACTCAGATAATCGCCGGGGGCAGGCGGGCACCGGAAAATTCGCGTTGCTGAAATTTCGCATTCCGCTCGCAAGTTCCAAGATAATGCTCAGCGAGTTTTTGAGAGACCGCCTGTTGAATTTTTTTCCGCTCTTATCTTTTGCAGATACATTGCTGAATCTCTGAAAAATCGAGAACTCAGCAAGCGGCGTTCCGAAAAGTCATGATTGCTTTCCAAAAAATCCGCGAGCGGGGTGCGAGAAATCAACCAACTATTCCCGGTGCCCGCCTGCCCCGGCGATTGTCTCAGTAACTGTAAGTCGTTTTATGTGTGCCTACAGTACGACTCACTCATTCGTCTGCCACGACCGTCTAGTTCCGGTGCGGGCTACTCGGAAAGCGGTGTTCTTTCGGTATGTCCTTCTGCGTCAATATTCGATGTGGCAACGAGGTGGAAACGCAGAAAACTGGCAGGAATGGAGGAGATGCTTGGTGGGCTGGGATTTTAGGCTTCTAAGGAAAGCGAAGACGTCGAAACATAAGGGCGTGATTGTAAGAACAGTAAACATCGCTCAACTAAGCTCGGCGTGAAGTAATCATATATTTCCGTTTCTATTACAAAAAATGACTAGCTGCAGCATTTACATAAAAATAAGCAAGAGCAGTTTGCGAGAAAGATAAGACGTTAAGAAGAAAACATCAGAGAATTACACAGAGCTGATACGACTGCGAGCCTAAGGAGCATGTTATCTACTGCGTACAGAATACCGTAGAGCTGGGATGATTTAGAGCGTATGCTCTTTATGGTGTAAATACACTTGCGGCAGTCACCATCACAAACCAGGAAAATGTTCGAAGATTTGATTCTTTTCATTTCAGCACTTTTTTCCAAGTCGAGAATATACTTTGTGTTCAAAGGGGTGGGCTTCGCATATGTATCCACGATTTTCAAAATTGCCAGGGTGGGCCTCTAACCATTTGCAAACCATGCATAAGAAATGATTGTCTTCATTACACCTTCGTTTTCGGACTGAAAAATGGAAAAACCTTACTCAAAATATTGCTTTAAATTCCACATTACCTACCGAGGAACATTAGCACATATCATCCATATGCAAGATTCTGATTCCGGTGACTACTCACACCAGCGGCTAAACATTAGGGCAACGTTGCGGAAAACCCATTTTTTACCTGCAAAAAAGGGGGTTGGAGTTTGCAGCGCTTATCTTTTACACCAGCCATCATACTTGGATACTCTTTGCGAATCATTGAGACTTGACATTTTGAGGCGGAAACCGAGGTTTATAACCAAGGTTGAGCAGGAGGTCAGGCTCAAATGCTTCAAAGATGCTCCCCCCCCCTGTTGAAAGCCCTTAAACGACCGCTCTGCTTTACCTCCAAGACCTCATGTGACATTCTAAAAAATAGCCTTCGCTGGAGGGTTCTTGTTTTTGGAAGTCTGCAGGCCCGAGTTTCTGCGATTGCACGACAATGCGGCGCATGCAACATAACGAAAAATTTCGGATCTGGATAGTCTTGTTTTTAGAACTATAATTTCCACAGGGTTGAACTGTTTGGCTGCAAATTTTTGATATAGCAAGAGGAGGCATTGATCTCAATAACCATAATAGAAAAAGGGGCGATTTTCGAATAGTGAAAGCAACTTAAGGGGTCTCAGGCACAAGGCCTCGAAGGTTTTACAGCAAGACTTGTTTCGGCCTTATGGTAATGCGTGCAGTTGAAGCAGTCAAGGTGAAGAACGCGCCGACTGAAATGCCGGCAGCACTTCTTCCTTTACTACTTGGAAGCGATATGAAGCTTGATTCTTAGCATAGACTGGTAGAGGACATTACTTTGTTCTGAGTATAACAAAAGCTGACTCTCTTCACTCTTGAAATCAAGTTAATCATCTTTGATTACTACGCTTTTTAGAAGTTGAGGAACACTAGAAAATGTGGTGCTGGTTTGTAGAGCTTATAGAGCCATTTTGACATGCTGATTACGGAAATGATAACCATTTTACACAACGTGCGTCCTTGATGACCTTTTAATATGTCAAGGTAAGAGATAAAGATTTGAAGTTTAGTAGCTGAAACTTCGATTGTGAACACGACCGTCATGTCTTCTACTGGCAAAGCTGCGGGACTCACGGAGCGCTTTCCTTCTTCACCTTAATCGTAGTATCTCCTCAGTTTTCTGAGCGAATGCGATTCTTGATTATGACCCCTCCCCCCTCAGTCTTAACCCATACGGCCCGCAGGTCGGGGTCGCCTGACCCACGCTTAACACTGCTTACAGCTCCTTCTAAAGATTTGCTTGGTAGGTATTGGATACAGGCTTAAGAACAGTGTTCGCTAATTCATATGATATACAGGGTGTCCCAAAAATATGTATATACTGTTTGATCGTTAATATCTCTCTTTCCTAGAAGTCTTTTGCTTATCTTCTGGCCCTTTTGTAAAGCTAGTTTAACTTACAATTAGATTTACAGCATGGAGTGAATCAATTTAGGTTTTTGAGCTGAACGCCCTTTTTCGCTTAGAAAGGCAAACCAAACAATATGAAAACTGTATCGTCTCTTTGAGCAGCAATCAAGATTTACAACTATTTGCTCAGACGCTAACGTTTCGGCTTTTCCGCCTTTGCCAGAGCCTGGAAAGTCTGAATGTATAAGTGAGACATTCACACAAACGCCAACATCAAAGCTCAAGGTATCGTCCAATCAGTGACCAGTGCGAAAGCTAAAGTAGAAAGACGGGTGACCCGATCTCATATCAAAACCCACAGAGGGATTGATATGACGCGTCATAAGTTACCCTAGGCATCTACCTTTCGGTTCATTGTTTGACTCTTGGCGTTTATCCATAAGGCCTCCAAGTTTTGCGCGCTAGCAATTCGGACTCGTAGGTCAGTATCATAACTCCAACTTGTACCTCCGCGCTTTTGTGCTGCAGAATGCGATGACTTCCTAAGGGTGTTACTGGTTTAAAGTTATGGAACCCGCCCAGATGTCTCTTAATGCGTGAGCAGAGACAGCGGCTCGTTTCTCCACCACATGATGAACATGTGATGAGACACACTATGAAAGATACAGTCGCCCTCCTTACCGTATGGACAACTTACGCAGTTAGGCGTCAAGCATGTGCGATCGTATGGATTCCGGATCAGTCGCCGGAATATCGACTATTCTAAAGCTGCCCTGCAAAATCGCCTGATATACGCAGCGCCGTGCGCAGTGCTAGTCGTCCGGAACGGCAAGCAAAAAGCGATTATTGTAAGTGGCGTATCCAGGAAGCCGATACCAGCTCTATGTCGTGTTAATTCGTGAGGATTAGAAGTAGGCTCTGCAGTTTGATTAGCTAAATTCCTAGAATGAACTCGCTCTTGGACACCCAAAGATGCTTTTGCTGCTGTCCGATACATATTACCTAAAATTGTCTTTTAAGCTGTCTGGGGTGCATGGACAGATAGTGTACCAGTATGTTTTTACTGCTAGTCTTCCGGTACCATTTTGTCCTACATTCCCACTCGTTAGGCGTACTTGTACATTTACGAACGCCCGTGTGAACTTTAGTTTGCGAATTGCTAATTGAGAAGATTGAAGCATAGGTCCATCTCGACTTGTGAGACAGATTATGCAGCAATCACGATGTAGCGAAATTACAGCGGCTTTCTAATAAGCAAGGGCGCTTCCACTTTGGACATGAAGACGATGGCTAGCGTTGGAGCTAAACGTTGTCCCATAGCAGAATCCCTAATTTGTCTGTAGTAATGACCCAAGCAGCGAAATATGGAACGACTGAAGCACCACAGGTGCAATAGTCTGAGAATTTTCTCACCTCCCCCCCCCCTTTACCCCCTTCACCGAAAGCCGAGAAAAAAATCAACAGTGAGGTAAGGTTAAACAAAGGAAATATTTGTACGTGAATTGCTTATATATGGGAAAGGAGGAGTCCGTTGAAAAAAGTGCTTGGTGACGGGCGTAGTAGTGATTTCTGGAGATTTTCGAGTTTTTGACATAAAAAATTCATAACTCCTGTAGATGAACATCTTGTACGCCCGTGATGGTCACCATTGGAACCGCCTCGTCCTCCGCTTTCAGAAAAAATACATGCCTGGGGTCCGTTAGAAAAAGTGCCGGGTGAAGGGTGGGTGAGACTTTTAAAATGGGAGTGCTCAAGTAGACGTCTTTTTACAATGGTAAAAAAGAGCTGAGAATATATAAGAGACTCACCCACCCTTCACCTGGCACTTTTTCTAACGGACCCCAGGCATGTATATTTTCTGAAAGCGGAGGACGAGGCGCTTCTAATGGTGACCATCTCGGCGTCAAGATGTTCATCTACAGAAGTTATGAATTTTTTTTATGTTAAAAACTCGAAAATCTTCAGAAATCACTAGGACACCCTTCACCCAAGCACTTTTTCTAACGGACCCCAAGCAATGTATATAATTTTCTGAAAGCGGAAAACGAGGCAATTTCAGCGGTGACCATCATCGCGTACAAGATATTCCTCTACAGAAGTTACGGATTTTTTATTTTAAAAACTCGTAATTATGCAGAAATCACTACTCAAACTCTTCACCAGGCACTTTTTCAACAGACTCCAGGCAAACTATATATGCTATAAAAGCGGAATACAAGATGGTTTTAAAAGCAGTTCCCTTGCTGACGCTGCTGTTCATCTACAGAAATTACGAATTTCTTCTTTTGAAAAATTCGTAAAGTAGTAATATTTGAAAAAATGTCTAACTTTTTCCAAAACAAATCTTCTCGCATGCACATCTTCTATGGTAATTTCAAAACGGGCAGGGTGATGTAAAAACGGAAAAAGGAAAAATGTAAAATACAAGGTGCTGGTCAGAACCATAATTATGTGCTAATCCAGCAGCACATCGCCTCACATTTCAGAAAAAAGACAACCAGTGATGGCAGGGAATTGAAAATTGCAAACTTTGACCAGGAAAAATGATGAGAGAACACCATGGTTCCCTCCCCTCCCCTCTCCCCCCCCCTCCCCCCGGTCGACATTTTATGATTTCTTGATCAACTGAAACACCCTTCACCCGGAGGCGCTGCGACCGCTGTGACCCCCTTCACCCTGGAGGGGTCATTCTCACCTTATCGCACCTGTGTGAAGCACTTCTTTAAAAGGGTCTTGACGCCGTTAATGTTAAAGCCGTACAGAGTAAGAAAAGTTTGGTCTTCAATAGCAATTTGTAAACAGCTTGCATCGCCGCATCATTTGAGACATTCGTATAGAGTAATTGTGTTTCTGAGTCTTGACTCGAGATTGTTAACACTTTATTGGCTGAGTTTAGGCAAGTCGCCTTCTTCAGAGCCTGGAATGGACAGTACGACTTGCAAACTATTCACTCAAACGTCTCTTCAGCCATGCAAACAAACCTCTAAGGCGTCGGTAGATTAGTAATCAGCTAATTACTAATCTACCGAAACCTCAAAGGTTTGTTTGCATGGCTGCAGAACGTTTGATCAAATAGTTTGCAAGTCCATTCCATTCCAGGTTCTGAAGAAGGCGACTTGCCGAAACGTCAGCCAATAAAGTGTTAACTATCTCGGGTCAAGGCTCAGAAACACAATTACAATATCAACACCATGCCGAGTTTCATAGAGAGTCGCACGTTCCATTCGTATAGAGTGATGTTACATCAAATCCTACCAAGCAATCAGAGGTTATATGTGCCTCGCGAAACTTTTCGAGGAGCGTATTTGTATTGGTCAAAGGAGCGGAGTCAAATTTTAGCAACTGTACTAGTATGATATTGAGAAACCATATTATCGGTGGGGCCTAAAACGCTATTAATTATTGGTCTGATCTTGTAATTGCGCAGGCTGTTAGAGCTCAAACCTCTTAGGAAGTTGTGGGCTTTTATAAGTGTCTAGAGGACAGGACAGATAGGCAAACTGCTTTTGAGACGCATAGCGAAGCTCTTTAGCTCCACTGAAGTGCTATATCCATGCCCGGTTTAGGCGGCGGTATTGCTTCGAACTCGGCTGGAAGGATGGCTGATAAACACTGTCATCCATCAAATCAGCGATCATAGATCTCGCGTAGGCCACGGCGTTGAGCGGGTGCTAGGTAAAATACTTGGCGTTTTCTAGAGAACTTCTCGGGAATGAAAAATACTGATGTGGCAAAAACGCGAAATTTTGTATCCACTACACTGTCTGGTTCCTGCGGCTTGTAAAACAATCGTGAGAAAGGGATGGTTGGAAATTAATGCAGCGCCTCCGACTCTTTCGTGTCGTCCTCGTTCGCCTTGCGTCGCACCACGTGGACAAATTGTAAACTGCCTAAATTTTTGCGCGAGACCCTAAAATTAACGACTACCTAGCTGCAAACAAGGGTCAAGGTCCAAAAAATGCGAAGTTTCCAATCCGGAGACTATTCCATTAGTTGATCGCGATGACTTCACACTTATGCCAGGTGAACCGTAATTGTCTTTACGATTCTCTCTAAGATTGGGATCACAACCTTAGTAAAGCTTCACAAACCCTTAGGAAGTTGAGTAGTGAAACCAGCGAGTTTAAAATTTTTGATACACCACTTTCCAGAATTTTTGGGACCTTTTTTCTGAAACATGACTGATTCACCTCGCTCCACACTGCAGGTCTAACAATAAGTTCAAAGCATCTCTATAAAAGTAGGTAAGAGGTTTTCTGATAAGAGAGATATTAAGATTGAAAGTGTACAATTACTTTTGCCCATATAGCTCACCTCGATTAACGATTTTGAGTTTGGGTCCTTCTCCAGTTAATCCTTTATCAGCCCTATTTTTGTTTTTGCTCTCCATCTTGCAAAAAATGCTTTGCTTTTTTCCAACAATGATCCAGCCTGCCCGGTGTCCTTGCCTGTTCATGATTGTATCGAATATGACGACAACAAGGAGTGCTCCAAACAAGGATCTTGTTTGAGAATCGGAGCAGACAATGCAGAAGCGCGTGTCTGTTCTTTAAATGTATAGCCGCGCTTTTGACACGCAAGGGAAGCACTTGATTGAATGCATATGGTTCATTGTTGACGATCACTACTATGATGCTCTTGCTTTCCGATGTAATGTGCACGTAGAACTTGGTCAAACGATGCTAGATATAGCGTTCTGTGGACAATTGTCAGGCTCAAATGCTGTCAGCATAAAAAAACAGCAATTTTTCCAATTTTACTATAGTCGCACAGCACTACAACAACCATCAGATTTACTGGACTACAGCAGCTATAGCTCTTTGGTTTCTATGACGAATAAGCTCAAGTCCTTCAACAAGCTCGATAAACCAATTATAGAATCTTCTCAACAACTTCAGCGCTAGTTATGCTTGGAGTGCAATTGCCCGAGTGCTAATTTTGTTCCAAATAATCACAATATTACCACTTATGGTATTCTTTATTCGTACGCAGCTATCAACTTTTGTCTTAAAGAAGAACTACCCTGGGTGAGTTTTTGAGCGTGCTTTGAAATTTGTATAATTATGAACATTCAGGCTGCCTTTTGTCGTAGGTCTTAGCGTAATCGTTGTGATATGTGGCGGTTTGACTGCCATATTTTTCCCCAACGTCGGCACCATTGTGCGGTAAGTTGGAATGAATGATGCTAGGAAATAAGAGAAACAAATCAAAATTAATACCTTTTCAAGTTACGTTGGTGCCATCTCTGGGGTCGTGAACTCCTATGCGTTGCCTTGTTTAGTTTACATGCAAGAACAGCGTCGGGAGAACACACTAACAATCCCTAAAATTGCCCTTCACTCTCTTATAATTGTATTCGGTGTTGCGAACCTTATCGCCCAATTTTTCATGTGATTTCGATGCGAAACGATAGCGACAGAATCTATAATATTCTTGCGACCCACCCGAAAATTTGGAAACTTCTGCAACAAAGGCAGAAAAGACCTTCTCGTTGTTGTTTATTGCGATTGGATACATGCTTACCATTTTGAGAGATGGTTGATTTTCACAACTTTCTATGCTATGTTGCCTCATTCTTCTCTGTACTATGTTGTAGATAAACGACGTTTACGACTGATGAGTCTCGTGTCTAGAGCAGGGCTAAACTCTATAAACACTGACAGCTATTATAACAAAGTCGATGAGAACACTGATTTGAAGTAAAAATTTGAGTTCCACAGTAAATGTTCTTTCTAAAGCTGCTGCAATGGGCTTTCTCTATGTTTCTGCGAACATGCTGTGTTGTGTTTACAACAACGTGTTTACAAATCGCGTGATCGAAGTTTTAGCTTGCTTCAAGTGTTTTAAATGACAGCAAAATACAATAAACTTAAGCTAAATATTGTACAACTTCGGTTGTTTATTACTCTTGGCACGATAGCTGATAATCGTGCGATGTGATTGAGCGTAAACCAAGATAGTCCACAATTTATTCATGGTCAAAGTTTTAAGAGGATGATTTCGTTAGAGACTAGAAAGTCGAAAACATAAGTGAAACATTAACTTAGGCGTAAAGATCCTAGTTCAAGACAAAGGTCTGTTTTGAGAGAGTACGAGCCAAGAAAGACCGGATTACCAAGGCTCACCTTCGTGAAGTGATGTGTTAGACCATCATATATTCTATACCTCTTTCCTATTTACAGTGCTCTTCTGACCTAACCTCATATTTAATTTACACAGAAACTGATATGGTAATCGTTGGTTACCGCAACGCACTCTTCCTTCCGGTTCATTTCTGATTCTTAGCACTGATTTAAGACGCTTCCAAAGTTTTGCGCTCCAGGAGGTCGGGCTCGTACGCTGATATGGTCACTATGAATCTATATGATTCTCATTTCATGACCCGAAATGCGATGACTGCCTACCTGCTTATAATTTGTTTAACACATCCAAGTGCTTTAACGCAAGCAAAAAGAACGTCTTGTTTTTCCGATATACGTATCACCGCACGATAAATATGTGAAGAGACAGAACCCGGAGACCATGCAGTCACGCTTTTTGCCAAATGGGCAGACGACACAAGCTGGAGTTAGGTGTGTACGATGGTATGATCGATTTTGGACCAACTGACGTTTTAGATTTGAAGACAAATAACGACCATCTTGGCATCGTCCTGCAAACCGCGAGATGTACGCATTGCCGCAGCGCTGCGCCTATTTTATCCGATACGAACGGCAAGCAGAAGCAATTTTTGTAAGTGGCGCATTCGGGGTGCCGAAACTGGCTCTGCGTCCTGCATATCCGCTACGGTTCAAGTGGGCCCACCAGCGTACCAATTAGAACTTAGCTACTTGACAAGCTAGTCTATAGAATAAATCCCCTCTTGCATACCCGATGAAATTTATGTTGCTGTCCGATACATGTTATTTATAACAGTCTTTTGAGCTTGCTGGAATGCGCAGAAAAGTAATGTACTGATAAGGAATGCTACTTAACTTAGCTTGGCAGCGAACGGATATATTCTGAATTACCTTCAAATGCCGATTCCAAATATGCTTTTCCTAGCTGCCGCGCACCATTCCGAAGCGAGTTATGGGCTTTTTTAAAGATGTTTCTAAGGCCCAATCTCAAAAAGTATAGACATTTGTCGCACGATTACAAGAACTGTACTTTGACGTTTGCACGTTACTTCTCTTCCATTTCCTTAAACTGCCAAAGAAAGTGCAGAAATATGGAAATAACACAAATTCAATCTTTTCTCACCTAAAAGAAGCTTAACGCAAGGGTATTGACACTTAGATGATGATGCCATAATGTCAGTAAGTCGATGCGTATGCCAATTTTGCGCAGGAAGCCCATAACTCGCTTCGGAATGGTGTGCTAGGAATAGCATATTTGGAATCGGCATTTGAAGATGATTCAGAGTATATATGTCCCCTGCGAAAGCCGAGCTAACTATCCCTTGTAAGATTTACAGCTAGCTTTGGGGTACCACTCAGTTTTGTATTCCTTACCGGACAGTCTTACTTATTGAGAAACGATAGACAATCTTCCTTGGGCTTTTCCCGTACCTGCTTATAGTGATGAGAGACCACCAAAAAATACAACATAATATGCATTCGCTCGAAAGGGTCATTATGCTATTCACAGTGAATCCATACAGGTTTAGGGAAGTGTGATGCTCCGAAAGCAGTTCGTAAATCGCTTGCATTACCGCATTATTGATACATTTGCGTCAAGGACGCTACACAGAATGGTTCCATCACACAGTCTGGGATCAAATGTGTGCCGCGACGAAGCTCCGGAAGCAATAAGTGTTTGATAGCTAAGCGTGGACATGTTTTAGCAAATGTACAAGAACGATGTTTAAAAACTAAGCGATTCTGTCGGTGGGGCCTGCAACGCTGCTTATCAACTGTCTTACTTTGATATCGCAAGGATTTTCCAATGGCGGGAAGTTAGCCTTCATTAGCGTGTATAGGATGGAGCATATAGGCAAGTCGCTTTTAGGGCGCGTAGCAATACTCTTTGGAAATTCCGCAGAGCAAACATTATCTATCCAGATCCTACTTAGACAAAGATATTGTTTGCCAAACTCAGCAGCGCTGGACGGCTGATGTGTATCTCTCCACTCTCCTTCGCGTCGTTCGTCGTTTGCCCTGCGCCCCAGTCTTTCGTTAACACATCGAATAATATCTGCTCCAAGACGAAGGCGGTCGCCCAAATAGGTTGAAAGCATGCAAGGCTGCCGCGCGCGGGCAATTGTCAACCACAGGGCGCGCGCACGCTCGGTCAGCGGTCATCCACGCGAGCGTGCGCGCGACCCGTGGTTGACAATCAGGGCCCGGCGGGGGTGGCGCTTTCACAAGCTGGATTTCGTTTTTGGCCCGAAAAAGCAAAGGTGAAGTCGTAATTTGGGGTCCGGGGCGGAGCCCCGGGAAAAAATTGATAGTTCATGCTCGCTGCTTATCTTAACATGTTATATGCCTCAACAGGCTAACACTGGAGTTCGCGCGCGTCAAACCTCCAATACGTTAAAGTGGGCTAGGCGGAGACTTTGTGATAAAAAGGCTCCCCCCGGGCATAATTCGTAGGAGGCCCTAAACCCCCACACATTATATATCATCTGAAAGCTCTTGATGAGTGGAATCTAACCTATGAAGTCGCACCATTACACACTTTCATATTCAAGATTTATATGAGTTTAACTGTCAACTGTCAAAAAACGCGCAAAAATGGCGTAAATTTTTAGATCTGGTTTTCAACGACTATCTCTCAAATCCACTCGATTCTTTCACTATCTGATAGAGCACCATTTACTCTGCAAAACCTATAAAGTCGCAACTGCTGACATCCTCAAACAACAGATTTATAACAGTGGAAATTTCGCATGATTTTTCACTATTCAATTATTCAAAATTCTGGTTCTCGGCCGTTACAGCCTGGATCGATCTACTTTCTTCGCTGTACGTTATAACAAAATTTGTTCAATAAAATCCGTACAGTTTCGCTAAGTTTTACTTCCAAATACACCATTTACTGAACACACGTTTATTTTGAATATATATGCCGCCGTATACGTAAATATATGCTTTCATAATCTTTTTTGTGTTTGTTTTGCTTATTTTCCTTCTTTATCGTCCAGCGAAAAAATTTTTATTCCAAAAGTGAAGGTGGTCATCCTGTACCAGCTTAAAAGTGAAGGTAGGGGGAAATCGGCTCCCACTATCGCACCTCTGGGCTAGAGCTCAAAGCACCAAATCCAGCACAATAAGATGCATTAAAAATGTGGAAGGATTGATTTGATTGGCGCGTTATACAAGCGCTCACGGAGGAATCACGACAAGATATGCGATCTTTACATTTTGGGCAAAATTCATGAGGACGTGTTTTCGTAGGCTCGTAACTCGGCGAATTTCACAGACTGGAGCCTGAGTAATGCACCATTCGATAGCATAGTTCCTAGTAACTTTGACTGAGAAAAGCAAGCAGGCAAGGTTTCTGACAGATACGCGAGAAGTGCGGCCAAAGTTACGCACTTTCGTGGTGAAGTTACAGTCACCTCACCGTATCTCTCCAAAAAGACCCTGTATTCTTCAAAGACCACGATTTTCGTAAAGAGCGTGTTCGAAAACCTCTATAAGCGAAGTTTCCTTGCAATTCAGGAGCATCAACATTTTGACGAAAATCCATCGGCGAGCTTTTGGAGCGTAAAACGAGAAAAAATGGAATAACCCGAGCATATCGGAAAACTTGCTCACAGAGGTTTTGCGACCTGTTGATTTCGAAACTCACATCTGCTGAGCAAGATAGCTTCGTATCCTGCGGCTATGGCGAGTAGAATTTGGGACAGCAAGATTCTTCCACAATTCACCAACCGTTCTATCTCCTTTGAAAAGAAACCTGCGGCTACCGTTCAGCACATCATAATCTACAGAAAAAGTGCTATCGAAAGATCCTTGCTGGAATGTACTCGGGACAATGCTCGCTGCTTTACGCCTTCGCGAAAAGACGTCCTCAGAAAGATTCAAGAAAACTGAAATCGAAATATCAAGGACATGCTGTACACAGGAAGATTCGCCTTGATGAGCTGAGCAAGGCGCTACTTTCGGATTCAAAATATACTTATTCCGAAGGAAGTTATGGAGTAGAATTTAAAAACGCATGATTTTTCCAAAATTCACCAACGCTTCTATCTTCTTTAGAAAGAAGTCTGTGCCTATTTTTTAGCGCACAATAATCTACAAGAACAGTTTTATCGAATAGTACTCAGTAAGGTCTTCTGTGTTGGGTAGGCGTTGCTTCACATATTCGCGAAAGGACCTCCGCAGAACATACTGAAAAGACTGGAAACGAATATCGAAGACATCGTACCCCCACTTCCACTATATCAGAAGATTCTCCGCGCCGAGCTGAATCGAATGGTGGCTTTGGATTCAGAATTCGTCCATGTCCATACATGTCCATACATTCGCGTCTATTTTTCAAAAAATGTGAGCGATATTGTATGTATAAATCTAATTGTAATTAGGGC